GGATTCTGCAGCCACATGGGGTACATCCGAAGCCTTTTTTTTTTTTTTTTTTTTTTTTTTGAGGGTGGGCAAACTTGTCCGTGGTGAATCAGGATGGGTTTTTGTTCTTTGTGAGGACCTCCAGGCCATGTGCTGAGCTTTGGCAACACATCAGTGGAAACCTCTGCAGCCAGCTGAACGCATATTTCTAACAGATGGGTTTGGAAACCCCACAAGGAAGGGAAATCTTTGCTAAAGGTATTGTAGTAGTCTCGCTAGTGTTATCTGTCCCATCTGCAATGCATCAAGTTGGCACAAAACTTTCTGGCCTTCAGAGGTGTGTCTCCAGCACGCTGCTCGTCCCTCTCGGTGGCAGAGGGCACGGACAGATGTGCCCGAGCCTCTGGCAAAGGGAGTCTCAGCACCACGTACCGCTGACCATCCCAAAGCTTGCATCCAATCTGGCAATGCTGCTTTAGTGTGGTATGGTAACAAAAGGCAAAGGTTCGGGGTTTGTTTTTTTTATTTTTTTCCCCAAAGAGAAAACTTTTTCCTTTCGCTGACTTTCCCATCAAATCTTGCAAAGCCAGAGCTCAGGTTCCTGCACTCCAGAGCCTGGCACCGCAGACCTGGCTCAGAGCACATGAAATGGGCTTTGCCCATCTGAGACCCGTTTGTTGCCCGTGCAGACTGGGCTGTAAAGTCAAGTGACTGGTTCCTTCTCTGCACACCTGAGCTGGCAGGGTGTGCTTTTTCTCTTGACGATCATTCAAGCAATCTATATGTTTCCTCTCATTTTGCTTTGTGGTAAGTGACCATATGAAAAATCCTGCTTGATATGGGTGTAATGCCCTCTGCTTCCTCTCCTGGATTAGAGGATGAACTTGGAGAACAGCAACTTTGGACAGTTCTCTTAAATTCTGCTCTCATCTGCTTTGTCAGAGCAGCACCTTCCTGTTGCAGAATGGAGGGAGAGTGAAAAAGGATGGGAAGAGCTTAAGTGAAAAGCCTTTTAAAAATCATCTTCCAGTTTTTAGAGGAAAGTTACTAAATATGTTTAGCTACTGGCAAATCCAGCCCCCATCCTGGGGACAACAGGCAGCAGCAGCTCCCTGGTAGCTGAGACCTCTACCGAGAGTCCCTCAGCAGAGTGACACAGGTGACCGCAGACTTTGGAGTCCTCCAAGCAGTGGACAGCCAAGAGCTCCAAGGACCTGGCTTCCGAAAGAGCTGCCGAGAAGAGGCTGCTGTTGCTTTCCTCTGCAGAAAGCAGCACGGCTCCTGCACCTCGTTAACCCTGGAATAACGCTGCACAGCTGCAAGCTTTTGCATGTGAGCCTGCGCTGGCAGAAGTTGTAATAATTGGAGTTCTTGTGCTGAATAGCTCCTAGGTGGCCTTCCCAGAACATTTGCCTAACAAATGGGCTTCAGATCACACGATAGCGCGCAACAGACCCGCAGGCGCATCGAGATAACCGCTGCCTCTCCTTGAAAAGTACCGTACTCGGCTCCTTCAGCCACACTTGGATTCTGAGCTGCCTTTACTTGGGCTGCTCCAGCGCCAAGAGTGGAAGCAGCTACACACCTCCTGCAAAACCATCCTGCTGTCCTGTCTTTGCACTCCAGACAGACAAAACCCCAGTGCTGTTATTATTGGGCAGCGTGTACGGACTCGTGGACCCATGTGGAATTCTCCCCCTCTCCTGCTTTTCTTTCTTGCTCTTTCTCACCCCATCCTGCTTCCCCATAAGAGGGGAAAAAACTCTGGCCAAGACTCCACCTAACGATGGAGCAGCCCCTGTAGTCCCTGCTCTGACTTGCTGGGGTACGGAGGGAAGCGATGCCTTGCTGGGGAAGCCAGGCAGCCAAAGGGATCCTAACGGCCACGGTGCAGATCTGTTCCCAGTGCTCAGCCTGGCTCTGCTGAGAGCTGGTGTGGGACCGCAGGACAGGAGCATCTCTTGTTCCTCCGGCTCCCCCCACGAGCCCAAGGGTGTTCCCAGGTGAAGAGGAAAGTGTTCAGTCCCTCACTGCTCAGAGTCCTCTGCGGAGCTCTGGACAGCTTCCAGGACTTGATGTGCTGCTTCCCTTCCTCCAAAGTCAGAGATAGCGTTATCAACAGAGCTGTGTCTGTTCCCGCGTCAGACCCAGAGCTCTCGCTGGAGTGCTCCTGCACACTGTCTCTGTCAGTTTTCTTTTTTATATTTTTTTTTCTTTCCTACATGTTTCGCCATGTCTTTTGGGAAGAGCAGCTGGGCAAGATCGATGTGTTATATCATTCCTGAAGTTTTTCTAATCTGGGGCAATCGCAGTGTTGTTTGTTTGTTTTATTTCTGGAAGTGTTTTGCCCTTCCTACAGCACTTAGGTCTGGCTTTTCCTGAGCCAGAGAGGACTGTGGAGTTGGGGCAGCCTGCAGCAGCTCGGTGTAAGCTATTACACAACCAAACAGTAAGTTGGCTGTACACTGTGATACCGAGTAGCCTGTCTTGGAGAGACATGGGCAAATACAATCTATCTTTGACTTTGTCCTGAGGATAATGTGAAAGGATACCCAAGTACCCTTTTGCCTGACAAAGCAGCTTGCAGGCAATGTTAGTCTGGCTTGAGAGCTTCCAGCTGGACTAGTAGGACCTGGTCCTTTCCAAGAGTTGTAACTGAAGTGAATAACGCTTTCATAAAAGAAAGCAAAGTAAATCTTGCTAAATGACAAAGGCAACATCACATTCCTGGTTGAAATCTAGCAATAAATATCCTGTGGACTGATGAATCTGTATCTGGAGGCTTGAGTGCCAGAGGATCTTGTTTGAATTGGAGTAGGCTGGCTCTTTGTTAATCGTAACTAAAATCAGGAAGCAGGAAACAACAGATGCTACTCAGAGTTTAAATTTTTCTTGGAATCCCTGAGAGTTGCTTCTCAGGGGTAACTATTCAGGTGCGGAGCAGTTCTGGAGCTACTAAGCTAAACACAGCATTAGGGGGGTGTTATGTAGTGGGGTTTTGTTGGTTTTGTTTGTTGTGTTTAGTTTTAAATTGGCCATCAGAGTACATTAACTAGTATATGCAGGCATTGCAGTAATATTTCAGAGTTCTCTCGACACAGGAGGCTTTTGATCTCTTTGATCGAAACTGCTCGGGGTGGGGAGGAAGAGGAGAAGTGGCTTGGAATGGCTGTATCTGACTGTGCTGCCGTGGACTTGTCTCGGTCCTCCTTTCCACATGTTTCTTGTAGTCACAGCAGGGGAAATAAAAGGCTTTTCTGCAATGTCAGGTTTCCTAAGTGGATTTTTCAGCTTATATTTATATCAGGTGGAGTTACATTCTTGAAGACCGAAGCTATCTAAGTTAGCTCTATGCCCTTAAGCTGCTGCTGAGAAACTTAAACCACTGAAGTGGGAGTCGTTTGTTAACTAAGCAATTAACTAAGTGGAAAAAACCATTTAATTTTAAACCTGATTTGCAGGCAGCAATTGTAATTTCATGCTGTTTATGTTCTGGAGAATGCTTAATGCTCAGTGTTTGGAGTTCTTAGCTGAACATATTGCTCACTCACTCCAGAAGCCTCTCAGCTGCTGTCACCGCACAGAACATCTCTGGTCTTTCAGCACAAGTTAGTAGCTTGCTGCTGTCAGCAAGCAAAGCAATCTGACTATAAATAAATGAACACACCGTGAGAAGCCAGAGCACTTCTGGAGTTTGTTATCAAGGGATACGGTCAAACTCAAGTCCAGTGGACAGTCCAAAGCCACTAAATTATTGCAGGCCTTGACATGGCAGAACTATTTCATGCCTGGCTATCAATAAACAAGATAGTGTGTTCTGGGCCTTTAACCTGCGGAAAACTGTCCCTTTAAGCCCTGTCCAAGGGAAGGAATTAATGTCTTCTGGTTTGTGCTTCCGACTTGTTCCCCTTCCTCCCCCTCCCCTCAATAGCCTTAACTGCAGTTGTAGACTGTCCTCAGCGGGAGAACAAATTTTCTGAACAAGGCTGGAGAGAATCCTGCAGAGTATGAACCGAGATAAAAGATGTAATGCATTAGAGCTTGACAGAGGACACGGAGTCCCGAAGTATCTCCAAGCGGCAAAGAAGTAGTCTTTCCAAACCAGCTCTCCTGACCCCTGTTCCCAAAGGGCTCCTAAAGAAATGGATGTGCTTGAGCTGGAATGTTTGTCCAGGCTTGCTCAGTCTCCTAAGCGTGGCTGGGAGTATGTAATCCATCTGGTACATCTGGCCACACTTCCCACTTGGCTCCATGGCACAGAAACCAAAATATTCCAGCTGAGCCTATAAATCCAATGTGGACACACTTTGTCCAGCAGCAACAGCAGTATAGTACTAAATTTCTCCAAGTCATTTTTCTACGGAGAGGTAGCAGCCAGATGACTAAATTATAGCTACTTAGCAGAGAAAGAACTGTTCTCGTGCACAGTTGCTGGGTAGGTAACCGATTTCACGTGTGCTTTACCTTCAGTTACAAGAATTGAAGCTAATGAGAGTGCTGAGAAACAGAATTTCCATGGGAAAACTTCTAGGAATCTTTTCCTGCAAGCAGTAGTTCCCAATGGCTTTTCTTAAGCATTCCTGATGCCCTAAACTGATGCCTAGCACTAGCTGAGTTTTGGGAGAATTATGCTTTTCTTAGGGAAGTGGGGAATTACTGGCTCGGAATGCAGTCTGAGCACTGGGTCTGCTGGGGAACTGGCAGCGGTAACAGCTTGCTTGAAGACCTTTGATTACAGTGCAAACACACCCTGGAGCTGTACACACCGAAATCTAACTGTACTCTGGTGTGCTGGTGTCTTGACTAAGCAGGTGAAGAGTCCAGTTTCCTGGAGCAGTGGATCTTGCTCTAAGGAAAGCTGCTCAGCAGGTTGGAAAACAAAGTAGCATCACTGCCTTCAGCCCAGTTCTGAAATAAATGGCAGTGACAATTCTGGAGGTGCAGACCTCAAACTGATTTATGTAATAGTCATGGATATATTTATATATATAAAGATAACACCAATAATTTCTTCTTCCTAGGAACTGCAGCAGCTCAGCAAGCAGTACAGCAATATCAAGCTCCTCCAACTGGGTGAGTAAAGGGCTTATGCAGAAGCATGTTCAACTAAGTCAGGTGAATGCATCTTAAGAAATGGTCTCCTGGGTGATCAGTAGCTGCACGTGGCCTCCAGCAGCTTAGAACGATCACCCTCATCTTGAGATAACACTGGGGAAACACAATCTACAGACTTCTGCACATTGTCGTCTCTCTGTGCTGCCTAAATGTCCCCATTCAGACTAATCCCTTGGCTTTCATGTAGCGTGTGTTGTACAGGGGATAGAGAGCATTTGAACCCCACAGCTCACTGTTCACCATGGCTGTTCTTGGCTCCTCTTTGCAGATGTGGTCTGTGAAAACAGCATCAAGAAAGTAGTCAAGGAAGTGGAAGAAATCGTGGGAGACAAAGGTCTGAACTGCCTCATTAACAACGCTGGCATCAATGTGCTTGCCTCCTTGGAAGAAGTCACGGCAGAGACAATGCTCACCATCTACGAAACCAATACAGTTGCCCAGCTGATGGTCACCAAGGTAAGAATTGGGAGGAATGTGCTTAATTTCTGGTGCTTAATCTATGGTATGAACCTGGGAGTCCAGCTTGCCGGGAATGGGCCAAGAGCAAGCTAACCGAATCAAAACAAACTCTTGTTTTCACAGGCGTTTCTACCCCTCCTGAGGAAGGCAGCCCAGCTGAGCACAGGAATGGGCTGCCACAGAGCCGCTATTATCAATATGTCCTCACTTGCTGCCTCCATGCAACTCGTCCAGGCAAACGAGATGTTCCTCAAGGTCTATCCCTACAGGATAGCAAAGGTTTGTGGCTTTTCTGGGCTGCGCTCAGTGGGTGAGGGCAGGGCTGTGAGTTAAAGACCACCCTGAGCCTAAAACAATAATCTGAGGTGTGCAGCACTTCCCTGGACAGGCTGACACAGGAATTGTTCTGGTTCTTCACATGGGTGGAAACAGGACCTGTGAAAACTGTACATGCCAGCTTCTTAAGAACGGGCTCACAAATGCTCCATCACTGCTCTGCTATAGGTGCATTTCCAAGGGATTTGGCATTCAGGGAAGAACTGATGCCATCAGGTCTGTGTCCTGTTTGCTGTGTTCTTCTCCAGTCCGAGCAAGATAACAGGCATGAAACGCAACAAAAGGCGTGCTGACCTGTACGTGGCAATGCTAGTTAGTGAGGGGTGGAGTTTTGAGTTTTGTCACATCCAGAAACTGAGTTTGTACAAACAGTCAAGATTAGGCCTACAGTTTCTCCTACACCACCTACTCATAAGCTGTTAATATGCTTGTTTTCCCTGTTCAGATGTAAAAAAACGAATGTTTGTGTAGTGATTATTGCAGAAAAACAGAGTCCTTATGTCAATCTTATTCTCCCTGCAGCTCCTTAGGAGTTTCAAATGCTAGTTTATCTTCCATCATAACTTAGTTTCACCTTTGGGCAGTAAGCTTCTGGCAATAGAGCCTTCACAATGCTTCTCTTAACAGCTGTCGCTGAGAACGAAGCCCCCATTAAGTCTGGATAAGTTACTTGTGATACTGTCACTGCCCCTTCATTTGTCAGGAGCCAGCGTGGTGGAAGGGAGGTGCCAATTAGCTTGGCTTAAGGTCTTGCTCAAAGTCTGTAAAACTAGCACGCTAATGGATGGTTTCTGCTCTTCTAGACTGCACTGAACATGATCACCAGGTGTCTTGCTGCAGACTTGAAATCGGATGGGATTCTCTGTATTTCTTTACATCCAGGCTGGCTTCAGACAGACATGGGTGGAAACATGGTAAGTGACATCTCTCTGAAAATGGGAAAGTATGACTCCCTTGCTGTCCCAGCCCTTCAGCAAGAACACACTGTACTGTGTACACTTCCATGTGCTGCAGAGGCATGCTAAGAAACGTGAAAATACATCCCACTTGATTCTAGTAACTCCTTAAATGCATTTGATTGTCTTCTGCAGGAAATTCACAGTAATAATCTTGATTTGCTCTAGGCTCCCATGCAGGTGCAAGAGGCTATCCCAGGTATTCTCTCCGTTCTCGACCGTCTTGGTGAAAAAGAAAATGGTTCTTTCCTGGACTGGCAAGGGGAAACTCTACCATGGTAGAAGTGCACAGTACACTACAGAAACAGCACATCGGTCACTATTTAACTTGTGCCACTCATGTCTGTGTCTCTAGGGTTTTCTTACACACTAGCTGAAATAGCCAGTCCGGTATCCAGCCTCTCTCTAGGTGAATTTGGGAAATGAGGTGGCTGACTCTCACTTGGTATTGCTACTGCTCTGTTCTAATGCTTCCTGCAAATACTACTGTTCTTAGCGATGGGTATCTCCTGGAACCATCTAAAATAGACTAAAAACTGCAAGTTAAATCCAGGGGCTGGTTCCTCTTCACTTCCAAACCCAAAGCAGGCCTCTCGCTCTCTGCAGAACCAAATGATCTGATCTCAGATTAAGGCCAGTGTAGGATGTCAGATTCCAGCATGTTCAGTCTGCTGGAAAAGGTCCTTCAGTGTCCTTCAGTCCTAACTGAGCCAGGGCTGAAACTGTCCAGCTCTAAACTACGTGAATTCGGTACTTCTGTAATGTCCTCAGACCCGTCGGAGCGTCCCCAGGTTGACAGCACACGCTAGGCACTTGCTTTGTTCCCAGTGGGTGACTAACATCCTGATCTGGGGGTGGGAATGTTGTTTTGTACATAAACTTCTGAACTATCTTAAATAAAGTCTTGTTTAAACAAACTGTCTGTTTACTAAACTATGTCAGTTAATTTCTCTGTATGTAGGTTTCTCTTCTCTGACCAGAGAGCTGTACTTGTGCCTCGCAGGAAGAAACACTACCCATTGCTAACCCCATCCTTCGGGCTAGGTGGATTTAACGTAGCGGGGTGTACCTGAAACTGAGGCAGACCCTCGTTCTGGTCTGAAACATGAAAAGCAGCTGGTGAAAAGATCTCTGTGTTCTGGCGGAGGTAGGGATAAAAGCAACAAGTTCTTTGAAGTCTGGGATCGGCTTCAGCATCGCTCCCTCATGCCAGCTGATTAGGCACTTTCATGCTGTGCCAAGGTGGTGGGTTCCTGCGCCAAATGAGGAAAGACAAACAGGCAGGTAAGTGGGAGAAAGAGAGGTGTGGCTTCCCCGCACAGCCGCCACGGCCAGCCCTGCCCTCGGACGCAGCGCAGGGTGTGAACGGGAGCGGTGTGGAGCCTTCCCTCATCCCCGTGTTGGCAGGGATAGAAAATCTCGCTATAACAACCGCTTGTTATGCCACGCTTTCTATGGTCAGACCTATTTTTAATGATGTGCTGCCGTGAGCGAGCAGGGGAACAGAGCGCGGTGCTTTCCCGTCAGCTGGGAGCCATCGCCTCGCCATTCCCGTGGGACTGGGCCATCAGGGCAACCCTGGCAGCGAGGGACCAAGAGCAGTCTGGGGTGGAAGGGACCTTAAAGCCCATCCA